CCAAAAGTGGCAGGAATAAAATGGTATCCAGAAGTTGCCCCGGCCGAGCCAATCTCCTGACATGAACCCCATCGAAAACCTCTGGGCCATATTCGACCGGCAAGTCAAGAAACAACCAAAAAAACCAACTTCGAAGAGCGATCTACTCCAAGTTTTGAAGCAAGAGTGGGCGAAAATCCCACAATCTAAAAGAAGGGGTGTGATTTTCTATTTGGTAGCTTTGTAACCCAACAAAATTGAAGGCTCTAAAAATTATAGTTTGTCTGAGCAATGACAATTTTGTAGTGAGTGATTTACATTTAATTTCGTAGTTACTGGAGGGGTGGTGGATAAAACAGAGAAGAGAAGATACTTAAAGATAATCTGTTGTGTGTCACACTAGGGGAGATTCAGGATTTTTAAAAATACTTCCTTACAGAATTAAGAACTTAACTTATATACTATTAAATTATGGATTATTAGCTAAAACTTTATACTAATTGGTATAACATAAACAAAAATGATTTTAATAAAATTTTGAATGTAAGGCACTAAAACCTTGTGTCATGCACAGTAAAGGATACCTGTAGCAATAGGGTTAACTACAAACACACCAGGCATAAACACCATTATATGTACTGGCCACACTATGTAACCTTTGTGTTAGCTGTGCAAAGTGTGGTATTAAATAGATGTTCTCAGAAATAGTAATGCAAGGAAATTAGTCTTATAACTAATTAAAGAAAGAATTGAAATGTTTGTTATTAATTTGAAATTTTAGAAATATATGCACAATAATTATGTCACTTAGTAATTCGTACAGTTTGTGAACACGTCATGTTAAATACATGCAGGTGGTTACCTTAAAAAAACAAGATAAAAGTAATTACACAAGTTACGTGTACATGTGTGTGTGTGTGTATTTTTAAATAAATGTATAGACGGTTACCTTAAAAAAAACAAGATAAAAGTACTTACACAAGTTACGTGTACATGTGTGTGTGTATTTCAAAATAAATGTATAGACGGTTACCTTAAAGAAACAGGATAAAAGTAATTACACAAGTTACGTGTACATGTGTGTGTGTATTTTTAAATAAATGTATAGACGGTTACCTTAAAGAAACAGGATAAAAGTAATTACATAAGTTATGTGTACATGTGTGTGTGTGTGTGTATTTTTAAATAAATGTATAGACGGTTACCTTAAAGAAACAGGATAAAAGTAATTACACAAGTTATGTGTACATGTGTGTGTATTTCAAAATAAATGTATAGGTGGTTACCTTAAAGAAACAGGATAAAAGTAATTACATAAGTTATGTGTACATGTGTGTGTGTGTGTGTGTGTATTTTAAAATAAATGTATAGATGGTTACCTTAAAGAAACAGGATAAAAGTAATTACACAAAATACATATACATGTGTGTGTGTGTGTGTGTATTTTTAAATAAATGTATAGACGGTTACCTTAAAGAAACAAGATAAAAGTAATTACACAAGTTAGGTGTACATGTGTGTAGTTTTAAATAAATGTGGTATTGATAGAATTGTTTATCTATACAATGGCGGTGAAAGAGTTAAAGGGAAATTTAGAAATGAATAACGAAATTCCTTGTTTTCATGTTCGTTTTTTAAAAGTATACGTATATTTTCTTGTACGTATACTTATTTATTCTACACTATTACCATACTTAGGATTTGTGTTTATAATTAGAGAAGAAAAAATATTATTTTGTTTTTTATAAAATGGATATTTTTGATTCGGATGGAGATTTCCGTATTTAAAATTGTTTAAATAGACGTTACAGCATCAGCTGAGAAACATTGTATCTATTAAATAAGATAATTTTTTTTAAAAAATGGTATACACTTTGTTATACTAGTTTTTTGTGTATATGATCATATTTTTTTATGATATGAACTACTTTTCTTAATTTCATGGTAATTTGTAGATCACATTAAGAGAATGATTTACGAGAAAAATTTTCTGTGTTAAATACTGATATAAAACTTTCTCTCTCTCTTTATAGACTGGACTTCCACAGAATATTCCACATGGACTGAAAGCGTATGGACAGAAATTTCTTGCCGAATCTTTCTGAAACCAAGTAGAGTCCAAGAAGGAGTTACCTTTGCTATAGGAATCATTATTCTTGTAATCTCTTTTGGAATAGTTTACGCTATAAAAAATCAAGCTCATGTTCTCTTTGGGTCCAGAAACCTTATCGCTTGCTAGGAAAACGCCACAAATCATATCGCTTTGGCTGACTTACCGGGGAGCGTGCAATTGGCAGAGGCCAAGGATTTGCCACCCCCTACATTTTTGTAATTGAAACCATCAACATTTATTTTATTTTTGGCCATTAGTTTGATAACCAGTCATCTTCTCTTATCTACTGTGATCTAGTACATCTTATTAAAGTTTTAGAATGTTTTTACTTGCTACTAAATTAAAGAACTTATACAGCGAAGTGTTCTGGGTGTTTGTGTTATTGTTTATATTTAACCTTGAATTTTCAAAGAAGTTATCAATAAATAAGTTAAATATACAGATTGTTTCAGGTTTTTAAGACAATCATAGATAGACATTACTTTATCTTTATGAGCCCATTCCTTTTTGATTACTCGTTGCGGAAAGTTACGTGGAAGGCAGTCAACTTGACATTTATTTTGTTTACATCCCACCCAATTTTAAATAAAGGTCGGTACATTTGAATTAATAAATAAATGAGAATTAGTCTAGTGTAATTGTTTTCCATATTTTACTATCAGTTTACATCATAGCATATGAATAAAAATAAGTTGAGTTTTAAAGAAGTAGCTTATAAATAATAATAATATTACAATAATTAATATTAACTTGTGATCAGAGTGAGAAATAGCTTATAATTAATATTACAATAATTAATATTAACTTCTGATCAGAGTGAGAAATAGCTTATAAATGATATTACAATAATTAATATTAACTTCTGATCAGAGTGAGAAATAGCTTATAAATAATAATATTACAATAATTAATATTAACTTCTGATCAGAGCAAGGGGAAATAGCTTATAAATAATATTACAATAATTAATATTAACTTCTGATAAGTGCAAGAAATAGCTTATAAATAATATTAGAATAATTAATATTAACTTCTGATCAGACCGAGAAATAGCTTATAAATGATATTACAATAATTAATATTAACTTCTGATCAGAGCAAGCTATCTACTTAGAATGAAACTGAAAATTAACCTGATAATGAGTATAGCTAATTAAATATGCTTTTCATACATTCTTACTTAAAAATATTAAAATGCATTGTTTCATCATTTGGGTATTGTTGCTGTCAACAATAATCCCAATAATATGTCAAAGTTTGGCTGGATTAGGAGATTTAAGTTAAACCCAAGTACATATATTAAGCTAAAGTTGATGAGGAAATAGTTTAAAAGGAATATCGTTGAGCTAATTTAAAAACAGCATGCTAATAAAAATGTTACGTACATGTAGCATTAAGGAAATAGTAACAAAATTGCTGTGTGTAATATCAAGGCCTGTGTAATAATAGGCAACTTATTGTGGAAATACACACTCACTTTCTTCACTGTCCTCACACGTGAAGTGCAAAGAAAATATTCATACGTACTCTGTGTACAACTGGAATTCTTTTCTTTAATTTTGTGGCCATACTCTCTGATATTTGTTTCTTAAACTTTTTGTGTGGTCTTATACAATTATAGGAATCTCTTCATATTATGAGAGGTTATTACTTTTAATAAGTACTAAATTTTAGTGGTGGGGAAACATAGGAGCCCAGTCATATCTTTAGGAACAGTGTGATATAAACTGGTGGTTCCCAACTGCTGTCCGCGAACCCGTGTCAGTCCGCAGGGAGATTTCAGCTTGTCCACAAGACAGTTGGGAAAAGAAAAGTTTATTTTAAAATATAGCTACTGAAATATATTGTTTTACAACATACTACATAGATACTTTGAAATGTTTATATTGTATGAAGTGGTTCACGAAATTTTTAGATTGGAAATAACTGGTCCTCCGTTGGAAAAAAAAAAGTTTGAAACCTATTGATGTAGACAGAACATCTAGCATATGATATAACTGATGTATCCAAGCTCATCAGATACTGATGTAGGAAATTTTCCAGATGATGATGGCTTGAAGAACTGTGTAGAAATATCTATTAACAACTTTGATTAGGGGGTGGACATGAGCTTGGAAAGTCAGATAATTTAGATATTGGATAAAAAAAAAGTGGGAGAAAAATTGAAAAATGTTCCCGAAACATTGTACCATCCTTCCATTGGCTCGGCATTAAGTCTGAAGTCGTTTAATGTTAAAAAACAAAGTTCGATGCTCAACATGTAACTCCGCTCAACAAAAAACAAACACCCCCCCTAACTTCACTTGTGACCTCAGAATATGTAGACATGGTTGTGCCATTTAGTCTGTATTTTATCTGGTGATAATTATGTATATTTGATGATAGATTAAATGAAATATTCTTTTATAAACCCAAATTCAACATTTTGGTTGTCTGGAAGCAAGTTTCAATGTACACCATTGTATGAATTAAATATGTCCAATTTTCTTTCACCTTTTATAACCACATTATAAATGCAAAGGGTGTTAGTTTGGTAAAATTATCAGGAATATTAGTCTGTAATATTTACATTGGGGAGATAATGGGAAGAATGTAGCTACCTTGTTAATGCTAACTATGTGGAAAATTTCTTACATTTTTTGGTAAGTCTGGTACAGTGACTGAAAATGGAATCCATTGATATTTCTGTTATTGGTTTTTAACCTCACAGTCATAAGAAGATATTAGATATGTTGTTCATTTGATGTGAAGATGATTGTTTAGTCAAACTTCTTGTCATACTTGGAAACTCAAGTTTTGTAAAAGTTGTTTAAAACCAGTTCATTGTTGTGGACATTTAGTACGTCATGCTTGTCTGTGTGGTTTCATACTAGGCTTGTCATGATGTCATATTGGCACTATTAACTTATAAAAACTTACCTGACTGATATTCACTTAACCCTACAAATTTTTCCTTTAGAAAGTATTGATATTTCTGTCATATAAATCATATTTTAAATATTTTTATGTATCGACGCTCTAACCTGTATGAAATAGACTTTTGTAATATTTAAGTCTGTTAATGTACGAAAATTAGTTTATTTAAAACCATGATTAGTAATGTAAACAGCTGCTTAAGGAAATCATTTCTTTGTGTCAATTTTGCTTTCCTTTAAGTATTTTTATCTACAGATATAGTTTGATATAAAAACATTGCAGTATGTAAGGACTAGATAACAGTCAGGAAGTTTTTAGGAGAACTTTTATTTCCGAACTTGCACTCTAGTCTGCCAAAGCCGTGTGATTTGTGAAACGAGATGTATGACCATGTGTGATCCTGAATAATATGTTTAGTGAACACTGAGGTGTTTTTTGTTTCGCAATAAGACGGAAAACATCTTTGTATCCACTTACTTGATATAAAATGATGATTGTTTTCCAACTTCCATCATCACCGAGGAACAATGCATCATAAACCTCTAAAAACAGTAGTTGTCTATCATCAGGAATGTTAGACTTGTAGGTAACTTTAAGTGGAATTCCACTGAAACTCTGGACTGTTCTATTTGTCCAGAGTTATTTCTTACAACTTTAAAAAGTTGATACTCGTATCTTTATGATAGAGAGTTTGTGATCATTCCAACTTGTCTACTACTAAAGATGGAAGATTGTATTTTTAAGTTCTTTTCGGCATGATGTGTAATCACTCGTCTCTTCTTTGTTGTGTATAGACGTGTAATAATTTTTCAAACATCATACACTATTAGTAAGATGTTCTTTCAGTGCACACTGACTATCTTAAATCGTAATTGTTTTATCAGTGCCGAAGTTCTTACAAAGTTTTATGATAAAGGTTAATTTTGTGAAGCTAATTTTTTATAGATGTATGAAAGAAAAAGTTTTTAGAAATTCTCTTCAAAATGTAATAGTTTAATGATGTGCTTTTCACACATATATATATATATATATAATCCTGTATTGTAATTTTCAGTTGTTTTCTTATCAATAACTGACAGTAGTAATGTATTTCAGCCATATGAAATTTTTTGGAGTTAAATTTTGTAAACATTCAGAAGACCAGTTAGTAAATATTAAACGTGAATAAAAACCCTTACAGTAATTTAACATTACAAAGTCGTATTGATGAACATAGAAATGTACAACATCGTTCTACAGCAGATATTTACAAGACTTAGTATTTTTGCAAGCTGAACAGTAGTCCGTTAGTAACTTAACTTCAGAATGGTGACATTTTATAAAGGGAAAATGTTTCTGAATTTGATCACCCTATTTTTGATGTTCTTTTCAAGACTTGCATTTTTTTTTCTAAATTGGGAATAATGTGGAAACTTCATCTGATTTCTACAGTGTTGTGTATGTATGATGAAGGTTCATTTGACGATTGAAATACTAATATTATTGAACTACTAAAGATTGAAATTAGAACAAAGTTAGTGTTTGTAGATGAGGAATACAACTACAACAATTGCAATCCATAAACTGATTTAAGGCTTAAGTAAATTATTTTTTTGTTAGTAGTAATAGTAGGGTTCCCACTTACAGAAATGATTTTTGAGAATATGAGAAAAGATTATACAGAAGGTTAAAATCAAATGGTATAAAATGGCTAAATGAAAATTTTGAAAAAGATTCAGGAATATAAATATACTAACCAACATAAGTGAAGATGATGATAAGTGAAAAGAAAATCTGGGAATGGGGCTTGAACCCAGGATCTTTGGCTAACAGGGCCGATGAAAATCTGGGATTGGGGCTTGAACCCAGGATCTTTGGCTAACAGGGCCGATGAAACTCTAGGATTAGGGCTTGAACCCAGGATCTTTGGCTAACAGGCCGATGAAACTCTGGGATTAGGGCTTGAATCTGGGATCTTTGGCTAACAGGGCTTGAACCCAGGATTTTTGGCAAACAGGGCCGATGAAACTCTGGGATTGGGGTTTGAACCCAGGATCTTTGACAAACAGGGCTGATGAAACTCTAGGATAAGGGCTTGAATCCAGGATCTTTGGCTAACAGGGCCAATGAAAATCTGAGATTAGGGCTTGAACTCAGGATTTTTGGCAAACAGGGCCAATGAAAATCTGGGATTAGGGCTTGAATCCAGGATCTTTGGCTAACAGGGCTGATGAAAATCTAGGATTAGGGCTTGAATCCAAGATATTTGGCTAACAGGGCCAATGAAACTCTAGGATTGAGGCTTGAACCCAGGATCTTTGGCTAACAGGGCCAATCCTCTGTCCAACTGAGCTATCCAAGAGTACAAGCTGTCCTCGTCTGCCTTCAGTTATAAGACCTTTTAACCATGAAATATCATACCACTTGGTGGTGTTGTGGTCAGGAAGTTAGTGGGTTGACTTACTA